ATATATAATTAATATTGAAACGACCTTCGGATGGTTACCCGAAATCCCACCAGACCACATCTCAATGCGCGAAAAGGAAATAGGGTGGATAGTCTTCCTTAGCCCTTTAAACATTTCTTATATATTTATACATATATGGGCATGGAATTTATATAAAGTAAAACTAAGTTTAATAAAAGCATTTGTTAAGCAGAAGAGTTTGTAAAACATTTTAAAGTGAAACCATTTGATAAACAGTTTGAACAGTGATAACATCATTGGTTTCCTAGTTATTAATCACATGTGATTAATGCAATCACATGTGATCGAAGCAATAACTATAAGTATTTAACTTGTATTCCCCCCCCCCATAAAGTATTTAAACATTTAAAATCATTTCAAATGTTGATTTAAGGGGGTATGAACTCACATGGAAGTTTGAAGATAGCGAGATGGAAAACCGGGCAGAGTTTCGTCTCGGAAAACGGATTTTTCTCGGGATTCTCGGGAATCTCGGGAGTAAAATTGACTCTCGGGACTTGAGCAAAAAGACCAGAGCTTCGGGTTTGAACGGGCACGGAAATCGAGGCAAAATCGTGAGAGAAAGAGAAAAAATGAACAAATTTTTCTGAAAGGCTCGCATCCCTTTTATAGGGGGCTGAGAGGCATGCATACGCGGGGCGTACTCCCGTACGCGGCGCGTACGGGACGTCACTGCTGACCGCATCCTCGGCTGCAGCGCTTCGGACGGGACAGGGAGGGGGTAGCTCGCATAGGGGTGACGTGGACAATCTGAGGTCGTGGCCTCGAGTACGCGGGGCGTACGAGGGTACACGGTGCGTACTACGGCCCTAGGCTGACTCCCCTCCGGATAATACCGAATTTTTAATAAAAATTATATATAAAGTATTTATCAAACTTCAAAAATTCATATCTTCTTCATACGAACTCCGTTATCGATGTTCTTTATATTTCCGCGAAGGTGAGACTACAATCTACAACTTTCGTTTAGATTCCGTTGGCAAATTCCGAAATTATTTTTATTATTTATTTATTAAAATGACGTGATTAAGGAATTTCTTTAAAAATTCATAACTTCTTTATCTGACGTTGGTTTTTGCCAGACTTTTTACCGTTGAAATACCATTGTCGAGACCTTCGATTCTCGTTTAGGTCATTCCGGCCAAATGTCGCTCGATCTCCGATTCGAGTTTTTAGTTGTCTGTTGTTAAGCTGAACTTGGAAAAATCATAACTTCAATATACGAAGTCGGATTTGGGCGTTCTTTTTACGTACGATCATGGTTTGATGACATTTAAACATAGAAGAATTTAAATAAAACTTTTTGGACATTTTATTGTCAAAGTTAATTTTATTAACTAAGAAGTGTTTACAATACTTGACCTATTAGGCCATTACAAAGAGTGAAAATATCGGGTTGTCACAAGGACTGTCAAAACTAGAGCCTCACAAAGTTGCTGATGGAGGGTCTCGAACGCCCTCTGCTGCTCGGGGCACCACCGGAAATCCACCCCCTTCCTCGTTAGACGAGTGAGGGGTAATTTTGACTTTATTTTTAATATTATTATTTTTAACAGAGTGGGACAGAAAATCCGTTTAAAATTCATAACTTCTTCATCTGACGTTTGTTTTCGTCTGTCATTTTACCGTTGTACTACTATTGATGAGACCTTCAATTCTCGTTTAGGTTGTTTCGGCTAAATATCGTTCGATATTTATTTTGAATTTTTAGCTGTCTACTACTATTCCGAAACTTAGAAAAATCATAACTTTGCCATACGAAGTCAGATTTAGATATTCTTTATATGAAAATTCCCGGTTTAACAAATACTAAGACTTTAATTTAGATCACCAAGGCTAACAAGTAGTATATCAAAAACTCATTTTTTACGTCATTCGTTGTTGTACCGATTTTGTTGCGATCAGATTTCGATGAGGTTTTCGCCTAAATGTTTCTAACGAGATTCTTTATAAATTCTCAATAATAAAATTTTACTTATTTCAAATTTTATATTTTTGTTAAATTTCAATATTCAACTTTTGATTGGAATCTCATAATACTTCCAATATTTTCCGATTGATTCTAAACATAGTTTTAATTCATTTCTAGTAAGAGCTATCCGATAGAAATCAATACTCATAATTATATAATATTTTATAATATTATTCACTTTTAAAATTTACAAAACACGATTTCAAAACTTGCATGTTACAATGCTCAAGAGTCAAATTAAAGTATTATTGCTAATAACATATGAAAGTAATGGGTCACAGTAACAACAACTTGATATAATTGATTATTTATTAGAAATATAATTTAATAAATACTCAATAAACTCTTATAATCAATTAGGAATTATTTATTTTGTGGAAATAATAATTTTTATTAGCATGTAACATGATATATATCATATGTTATCATTTTTTAAGTCATGTATAACAGTTTGGACCAGAAATGCACTTTTGTCTTTTACCAAAAAGTTAAGGTTTATATTTTATAAAATAATTTATAACAAACTTTCTATTTCTTTTATTAGTTAAAACCATGACTTCCTATACGCTAGATAAGTTATGGATTTTTTATTGAACAAATGGAAAGTAAGACGTGTCTAAAAGCATGTGGGAACACTTACACTTTAGGGGACATGATATGCTTAAAGTGTTAAGGACATAAGGATAATGAAATGAATTTATGAAATGAGGAAGGCTTTAATTTTGGCATGCAAAATCTGAAATCCTATCTTTGTCTTTCTTATTCTCTCTTTCTTTTGAAGATGAAGAGTTCAATTTGCTTGCATTTTTACTCTCTTCAAGTTCATACGTTGGTTATGAAGTTTAAGCTTAAGAGTTTTAAGAGTTTTACAAGACTAGCATCTTAAATCATGTTGAGTTCTTGTTGGTGTCTTAAAGGTTCCATATTCTCAATCAACTTGCAAGCCTCCCATAGAGGATCTAAAGTATACAAATGTTGTTAAACTCTTCTTCTTCTTCGGTGCTTGTTTTCATTTCAAAATTTTCAAAAAGATCCATGGTTGGTTATAAAATTATTTTACGTTATTCATAATCAAAGTCTTTTATTGGTAAATTTTATGTTTTTGAAACTAATTTTTGAATAAAAACCCAATAATTTTCCCATAATTTCTAATTAGTTTATTAATCACATAATAATCTAATAAATTGTCCTTTTCTCTCCTAATATCATTTCTAGCCAATTCTGGTTTTGAGGACAACCCAAAAAGGATTTTGCTTCTAATTACAAGTATATACCAATTTATTTATGAGCTTAGACACCTTAATCCAACAATATCACCCTTTTGTCTTCCATGTCGACACCTCCACCCTCTCCTTTCGCCGGAGCTTATATCTACCTCCCTCTTTCTTGGCCTACAACCCCGACATCCAACCTATTTCTAGTCCGATCATCTTCTGTATCCTTGCTACCTGTCAACTTCTATAGTTTCCAATGGTGTTGGATATATGAAAAATAGAGGATGCTAGTAGTGGTCTGAAGATCGACGTGAAGCGATGAAGGCATTAAAGGGTTATTCTTCTGTTACCGACAAAAGGGGGGATTCACTTGAATATGGGTTTTTTTATTATTAACTCACTTGTATTTGGGGATGTATTTAGGAGTTTTGCATTTATGATTTTGCATCTTCACACTGCCGTCGCCTATCAACATCCACAATCATCAATGATGTTTTATATACGAAAAATAGTGGTTACTGGAAGCAGTTTGAGAATCTGTGTGAAGCGGTGAAGGCATCTTATTGTTGTTCTTCTACTACCGACGAATGACCGGGGGGAGGGGGAGGGGGGGGGGGGTTACCTGAATTTAGTTTTTTTTTAATTAACTGATTTGAGTCTCTGGGACTGTATTTAGGATTTTTTTAATTTGTGATTTTGTCTACGATTTTTGCATCATGGATTTTGTTTCTATATTTTAGTTTGCATTGCATCTTCGATATTGGATTTGGTATTGAATCAGAGGTTCTTTTTTTATTTTTATTTTTTATTTTTTTTTAGTTTAGTTTTAGATGTATATTAAGATTTATTGTTGATACCAGAGTTGGAGATGGGAATTGGATGTGTTATTAGAGATGGTGACCGAAGGTAGTGGCAACAATTATAAGAGGATTAAAGGTGGAGTGGGTCATTTTTCTAACAATATAATAATAGTTTAATTTATTTAATAATAACTGGAATAACTAAAAGGAAATTTAGAAAATAAAAATAGATATTAACGGTGAAATAGTCTTTTTAGCTTAGCGAGGAAGTAAACGTGCTAGAAAAAGATGTAATAAGGACCATCTCGAGGTAAAAAAAATATTAGGATCAAGTGTGTAGATTACCTCAAACCACATGGACTGCTTGTGTAATTTACTCTTCTTTTATTTACTAAAGGGCATTGATAGAAAACTAGATAATTTAATATAAAATCAAACTAGGGGTAAATTATAATATTTAGGTCAAATTTAAAATAAATTGAGACGTTAAGGACCAAACAATATGTTGAAACTATGAGGACCAACAATGTATCAAATTGCCAAGTTGTCATGAATTTGAGATTTTTTTAAAACTACAAGAACATTTATACAAATTTATTGAAATTTGAAAGTGATTGAAAAATGGACACATATGAGAAGGCTTTATTGCTAATCACACAAAACAAACATGGATCATAATTTTAAGGCTTTTTGAATTGAAAACATATGGATTGAAACTTGAAGGCATTTTGAATTGTATATATGTTTTCATATTGATTAGGTCATTGATTTAATTTTGATAAGACTTTTAAATAACATTACAAAAACGAAAATAGTGAATTACAAAGAAACCGGAAGAGCTACCACAAGATGACGAAAGTCATTGAAAAGTGATGAGCTAGCACAAGATAGGACGTAATTAAATATTAAATTTATATTAATATAGTAAAATACAGAAGCGAAATTATTATTAACTAATATTTTTGGAATAGATTTGGACAAACAAAACACATGATTATCACATAAGAAAAACCCCGGAAGTCTTCCTGATTAAGAATTAGAGTCCGAAGACTTCTTAAGAATAGGACTAACGGAAGGTATACTTCAACATTTGTAAAAAAAAACACACACACATACATAGAGAAAGATGAACGAAACAGCCAGTATGTCCGTGTTGCCGGAAGTCTCCCTGTCGGAGATACTATCACTAACTTCACCTAGGAATGCGTGCAGAGCTGCCGCCGTCTCCAAAGAATTCATGTCAGCGGCAGATTCCGATACCGTTTGGAAGCGATTTCTGCCACCGGATTACGACGAAGTCATTGAGCAGGCGGTTTCTCCTGTGGCTTTTGACTCTCAAAAGAAATTATACCTCCACTTATCGGACTCGCATATCCTCCTCGATCGTGGCTATCTGGTAAATCGATCGTCCTTAAGATCCACTTTCTTTTTCATTGTTAAATACGCCTACATATCCTTTCGATCTATGTGGCCAATTGTATGAATTTTTCCCCAAAGTCGAGTACTCATGAACTGTTGAAAACTTTGTTGGGAGTTAGGTGACGTATATGAAGTACAGTCCTAGAAATTAGATTTTTTTTTTATACCATGTTCAAATCCAATGATAACTTGCTTCCTGAGGAAAGTATAGTTTCACGATTAAACTTTTAACTAACATCTGCTAAGATTTGTCTTTGGCCACATATTTCCATAAGCAGAGCTTCCAGCTAGATAAAGAGAGTGGGAAAAAGTGCTATATGCTGGGAGCCAGAGAGTTATCAATTGCATGGCAAGATGACACTCGATACTGGGAGTGGGGGCATATACCTCAATCAAGGTCTCTCTTTTTTTTTTTTTTTTTTTTTTTTTTTTTTTTTCTCTCTTTATCTTTATGTTCACCTGATATGTTATAAGGTTACGAATCTAGAATAGAAAACTAGGTAGTTCCTAATTATTAATTGAAGCCGATAAAAAAAAAATAAAAAATAACAATACTTGTGACGATTGGTTGTATACCCATAGCGGGTGCGAGTAGATTCAAGGTCTTGTGCAAAAGCTATTAAGATGCCCTTTAAATTACAAAAAGACTATTCAAATTGCTAAATTTTAAATAGAAATAATAAGTTTATTCCGAGATAACTTGTTCTTCATGAAGGAACCAATTTAAATACATTCAATATCCTCAAGAAAAATATATGTATTATCTCATTCGATTCATTTCTTCAAAGCTAAACAAAAATACATAATTTTCTGTTGACTTTTATGGAAAGTTAATATCTAACATGTGGGTTGATTACAAGTTTACAAATGAAATTAAGATTTTTGTTAGGAGAAAATGATGACAAAAGTATAAATACCTAATCACGGTTATATAAAATTATTACAAAACATTTGAGTAAGTTAAAAATAGCACTCATCTAACGAGGATAGAACCCAGATCTTCATATTACAAAACAAAGACATCTTACCAAGTGAACTAGGACTGAAACTTTTCTTTATTATATATAACTTTCTAGCAACAAAAGGTAGGTCCTAAATTTTTTTAAAGGTTGTTCTTAATTTTTTTTCTACAATATCTATAAATAATTTAAATATTTTAGGTGGGTCATAGCTAGGACCCACCTAAGCCCTTCTTAAAATTGCGCATGGTGAGCTAACATTGCATGCAATGGTGTACGTGACATTCATATACGTCGCCCTTTATGCAGGTTTCCGGAGGTGTGCATACTTAGAGAAGTATGGTGGCTTGAGATTCGAGGCAGAATAGCAGCTGTAAAACTATCACCAAAGAGTACATATGTGGCGTATCTTGTCTTTCGAACTACTGGGTATGTCAGTGGACTTGCTGTGCCAGGAAAAACAAAGGTAATTTATGGTGGGACAGAAATGAAGACTGAAAATGTGTACCTTCAAAGACCAGGGGCTATTGGTAGAACTGGACATGTGCCTGTGTTTCCTTGTAGGAGAAAGGATGGGTGGATGGAGATCAAATTGGGAGAATTTGAGTGCAATGAAGGAGATGATAGGGTGGTCGAGATGGCCTTTGATGAGCATGAAGCCTGGAAGAATGGTCTTATCGTGGAGGGCATTGAGCTTCGGCCTAAATAACTTGCAAAAGATAAGGTCATTTTCATCAATATATATAATGCTATACACAACTCTTTTAATTTGTGTGGTCTCAACTTTGCAATTATATTTATCTTCTTCATTAATGTAATATATTCCACTCCTCCCTTACAATTTATAATACATATGTATGTTCATCAATGTAACACTATTAGGAAAACGGTATTAGCGACGGAAAAAATCAGTCGGAAATTACAACGGGGTACTGACGGATTTCCAACGGATTAAAAAAACCCGATTACAAAGATTTTACCTATAGTTGCTGACAGTTTAGTGACAGAATAAACATTTGTCGGTAAGTCGTTACAATTTTCCGATGGAATAGGGTATGGAATTTAGAACGGATTCGAGACAAAATTTAATAACGAACTAGCAACGCAAATTAGAATGACTATTATGTACGAGTTATTGACCCCCAAGGCCCATGTAAGAACCCAAAAATACGGCCAAAAAATTTCATTTTAAATTAAGCAAATACAAAACCATTTGTCTGAAAATCACATATAGTAATAGTACATATGTCAAACCAATGTATCCATAGTCAGCACATGTCATAAGAAAATCATATCATAGTATAAATCCCATATATCTATGGTGCGGAAAATCGTGTGTGCGATGCGCTGCAACCGTACTGGTTAATTTCCCTTCAAGGAAGAATTACCTGAAACCAAAACTGAAAATTTTAAGCACAAAATTAAGTGAGTTCCCTATCATACTGCATAACTTATGGGTTTGATACAAAAGAACAATCCTATGTGCTCATGCAAAACCCTAAAGCTTGGATCTAGGTTTCTCTATTGTACATGCAATTGATCCAAGACTTGAAAAACCCTAATCTAGCATCTATTGAAATCGAAATCTATAACAAAATAAGTTTAGATATTACCTTTCAATAGTTGCAAGAATCCTTGATCTTCAAGAAGCTTAGTGTCACAAGTGTAGCACCTCTAATGGTTTACAAACACCACAAGAAAGAGGATAATCTAGAAGAGCGAAGGAGAGAGGCTAATTTCGGCTATAGTAACTCTAGGGTTTTTGGTGTAGCCGAAACTTGAAGCCCTGGGTCTCTTATGTAGCTGAGCAGCTAGGGTTACAGTCAAAACCCTAATTAGACGATTTAGGCCCTAAGCATCTTGGGAATCTTCTGGAATAAGGCCTCTATGGCTGAAATTAGAGCGGGCTTCCACTCCTAATTTCTTCCACCTCATATCCAGGAAGATCTACAGTCCAAAAACTATCACATAATTGACAGTTCCAGTCCCCTTTATTCAATTAATCTCTTTTAGCTACAAAATTAATTCATAATGAATTATTGACTAATATTAATTAAATTATATGGTTTCTCATTTAATATATTATTCACATAATATATTAATAAACCATAATAACTTCTCTCTCTCTCTCTCTCTCTCTCTCTCTCTCTTTTTCTCTCTCCATAATTTATCCTGTCAAGTTGCTTTGGTGAAGGCAACCCAAAAGGACCATGCACAACCGGGTCATGTACATACCAAACATAGTTACGAACTTAGACACTAATCCAAAAGTCTCCCACTTGGATAAGTCTGGTAACTATAAGTACGATTTCAGGATCTGATTAGCAATCGTAGCTCTCAAAGACGCTATCAAACTCTGATCTTATTAGTAACTTGTCCTTTAGATAAGGGATCATATAGTCCTCTGTTCTAGATATCATGCAGACAATTACATAGAACATAGTCATACTTATTGTCCAGCAGTTTGTTTCTTGATCTTTGATTTGTCTGACATAGAACTTAATTGAACACGTCAATTCAGTCCTGACCGGGCCGACATATAAGTCAAACCAAATCATCGAGGGGACCAGATGTCGCTTGTACCCTCTTAGGATAAAAGGAACAGATAAACTTCGACTTATATGCATTTACCACTCACTCATTAAATCATGCACAACAATGCGTTTTATAACATCAAGTTACTGATGCGTTTACGCATTATCATTTCACAACCAACTTGCAAATAATAAACCATATATCTAGGTTTCAAGACCATATGATATTATCGTCTTGCGATCACTGTTGATAAATTCAATGAAGTGATGCCAGCAAGCGTGGCCTTAATCCAATGCTCAAATCTCATTGATAAACACTCATGAACGTTGCAACAAACCTTTGCTATGTCTAATACACTTTAGATAATCTACAAACCAATTCATGACAATCGTCTTTCATACCTACTCCCAAAGTACGAGCGATTGTGGAACGTTCGAATAATCTTATTATTCAGGAAGCCAAAACATGGAAAGTGAAACAATAGGTAAACAATTAACATAAGACAGTAACTTTACTCATAAATAATAATCCTTTATTTACTCATCAAATGTTAATTACAATTTATCTATTACACGTTTCGAAGCTATCTAATCTAAACTAATATCGTCCTTCAGCCCGATGATCCTAGTGTGATGCAATTGCTTAACCCTACTCAGTCCCTTTGTAAGGGGATCTGCTAGGTTATCCTCCAACGATACCCTCTTCACTACAAGGAGTCCCTCTTCCACCCGATGTCGAATAAAATGATATTTCCTATCGATATGTCAAGATCTAACATGATCCCTCGATTCCTTGGTCAAGGCAACTGCTCCTTCATTACCATAGAAAATTTCCATAAGCTCCTTTATGGCTGGGTACAACTCCAAGGTCTCCAATGAAGTTCTTTAACTATATTGCCTCCTTTAACGCTTCGCTGGCCGCTATGTACTCTGATTCGCACGTTGAATCAGCTACGGTTTCCTGCTTGGAACTTTTCCAAGTGCAACATCCGGATATCCAGGTTTGGAAATTTGAGTATTTTATTTTGGAATGTGAAGAGACTCGGTGAGTTGACACCCCAACTCGTCGAGTAGGATCGCGTATTGGTGCCTTGTTTAATGAAGGGACTCGACGAGTCGGGACTCGCCGAGTCAGTGCTGTTAAGAAAAACCCTAATTTTCCGGGTTTGGGACCTATTTAAAGGTCCTTATGGCCTTCATTTGCGGCCATTAGACCCTGGGAAACCTTTGAGAACAGAGAGGAAGCTTGTGGTGCATGAGGGAGGCTAATTCATCATCTTTTTGTGTGCTTTAGCAAGAGGGAAGGATGAATTTCGAGCTAGGCTGTCTCGTGGGACTTAAATCCTCCATCTTTTCGTTCAGAGGTGCTGTGGGAGGTAAGGATTCGTGCCCATGTTCGTTTGTGTGCCAGAGTTCATGAATCTAGGGTTTCTTCTCTTCTTTTGTAAGAGATCTAGAGTATGTGATGCCCCCTTTATTCTATATCTTCAGATCTGGACCGTGGAAGGTCCAGAGAGTCCCTATACCCCAGTTGTATGCATGTCCTTTAAGAGTCATGAGCTTTGGTTGCCATTTATGAGCGAATTCTCCATTTTGAGACTTGTGAGCATTGTATGTGTATTAAGGTTGTGCCTTTACATGTTTTTTGAGTTTGGGAAGGACAGATTTATGGATTAGAGGAAGAGATCTGGCATTAAAAGATCATTTGAGTATGATCATGGATGCAACTCGCCGAGTTCATAATTGGACTCGACGAGTCTAGTCGGGGTTGCCCCCGCGATCCGTGCTAGATAAAACTGGTCGAGCAAGGGGTTAACTCGACGTATTAACAGAGGTGAGAAGGAGGATTCCATGGATGTGTGGACTCGCCGAGTCGTCCATGTGCACTCGACGAGTCAGGTCAAAGTTTGACCGTTGACATTCGTTGACTTTATGGTTTTAGTCAAGGTTGACTTAATAGAGTTCAGGGAGGGGTAGAATGGTATTCTACATAATCTTTAGAGATGAGACTATGAGAGAGTATTGACCGGAGATGTTATTTGAATAATTGGAGGAGGCTAGGTCGGGGCAATGAGCACGAGAGTTCATCCGACTACGTTTGAGTTGAGTCTTCTCACCATACTTTACCTTGAGTGGTAATTAGAGTTATGTGACAGAGTTATTGTATGCTATTCATGTGGTGTGTTGCACTGCATTATTTCTATGTGATTTATGTCGTGTGTATATCAGATTATATAAGAGTTAGAGCCGGAAGGTTCACAGCGTTAGGGCCAGAAGGTCCACAGAGTTACGGCCCAAGGGCCCAAAGAGTTATAGCCCCGAATGGCTAGTATGCGCTATGTGCGGTATTTTAGGGAACTCACTAAGCTTCGTGCTTACGATGTTTTGTATTAAGTGTTTCAGGTACTAGCGAGGATCGCGGGAAGGCGCCGACGTGATCAGTACACACACTTGCGGAGTTTTATTTATATGATATGATCTTGGGATTTTTGACTTCTGTTTAAATATATGAAACAATGTGTTTTATAATATTGTGAATTAAATGGTTTTTAAAATGTGAAAATTTGTTTGAAATTTTTCGGTGATACAAGTTGGTATCAGAGCCTTGGTTTGAGGGATTCGGATGCACCTTCGGGCGTATCTGAACTCAAACTGAGGATTTGAGGAAAAGTTTGATAATGAAATAACTTTCAAAGAGTAAAAGAGTTTTTAGACAAACAAAGCAGAGCTGTGTGTACGGTCAGCCAACGCCCGAATGGTGATTTCCTAAAATACCCTTACTTTTGTGTTATGAGATATTTATGATATATTTTATGAGATATTATGCATGCTAGAGACTAGCTAGGTACTTCATATCTTAGGACTATAGTGGCCTGATTGTGATGCCTTAGCCTAGGAGTTGTTGTTATATGTGATGCACTTTTGAATATATGTCGAGTAAGAGTATTCAGCTGGAATCCTTTTAGGGGATTTGAGTAGACGAGTCATCTAGGAGAGATGCCTAGACGAGTATTGTGGTACTTATCGAAAGAATAGTTAGGACCCACGAGGGGTAGAGTTGCAGAGTTCGGTGGTATTTTTGAGAATGAGCAGAGCAAGAGGAGTTATCATCCAGAGTGAGTTCTATGTATTATTTGATGCCCGAATGCTGCTTGCTTTGTGCTTTGTGGAACTC